GAAATAAACCAGATGCACATGTGTAAACATCATATTGTCTCCCTAGTGTGAGAAGCTGAAAGAATAAATAAGATCCAAAATGTGCAATATCAGCAGCACAAGCACTTGCCTGGCAAGTGCAAGGTCCTGAGTTCAATTCCCGGTACCAAAAAAGAAAAGAACAAAATGTACAATAGATATTGTAAAAAAAAAAGCGGAGGGGGGGGGCTGGGGATTTAGCTCAGCGACACAGAGCCTGCCTGTCAACCACGAGGTTGTGAGTTCAATTCCTGGTACCGGAAAAAAAAAAAATAGATATTGTAGGGGCTGGGGATATAGCACAGCAGCACAAGTGCCTGCCTGGCAAGTGCAAGGTCCTGAGTTCAATTCCCAGTACCAGAAAAAAAAAAAACTTAGGGTAGATATTGTAAAATGGGAAGAAACTTCAAAAGGAAAGAGAAACTGGCATGGGAATGGAGAAAAGAAGGAAGGGCAAAGTAAAAAAATATATATATACATATAATAGTTAAAATAGTTATAGCACTAATTTCTCTTTGTTCATTGAAAATAAAGGTTTGGGGGCTGGGGATTTAGCTCAGAGGAACAGCACCTGCCTAGCAAGCACGAGGTTGTGAGTTCAATTCCCAGTACCAGGAAGAAAAAAAAAAAAGAAAGAAAGGTTTGTGCTAATGTTGTTTGGACAATTAAATGTCAATATATTGTATTCTGAGTAACTAATTTAAAGATAACAACATGCAATGTATTAACCATTGTTACCCTCCTATTGCTTTGAAATATTTTTTTCTTTAAAATGGAAAAGAGAACTGAGTCTGAGATAAGTATCTTGCTCCTAACAAGATCTAACAAGAGACAGAAACAGAACTCAATTTCAATACTACATAATTCCATGTGATGATTATGGTAATTTTTGATAAGCAAATGATTGTCCATAATGCCAGGTTTTGTGCTAAGCATTTTACTTTGTGAATTACATCAACTGTAACAATGTGGATACACTCACTACTCCTGGGTTTGTACAAGCAAACTAAGACTCAGTAAGGTTATATAACCTTGGCCAAGGTTACACAACTAAGAAGATCCCAAGTCTGAAATGGACCATAAATCTGATGCCACAGTTCATGTTCTTCCAACACAAACACCCACACAGCCTGAGGTCTTATTACACTGAACTTTTGCAAGAAAGGGTGAGAGAAAGTGAGAAAACACAAGGTACTTATGAAATTAGAGATAAAGCCTGATATAACTAAGCTCACTGGTCACTCATTCAGTCATTCAGTACATATGCCCAGTCACCGAAGAGGGAGGATAGCATAGTGCAAAGATCAGGGTCTCAAATCCTGCTCTACTAATCACTAGCTGTGTGACCTTGAGCAGGTCACTTAATTTTTCTGAGTCTTACGCTTCATTTTCATCTGTAAAGTTGAGACAATTACTTACTTCTTAGGATGATTATGAAAACAGAATGAAATATTATATGGAAAATGAATTAGGTAGAATGAGCACATAGCAAGTGATGGATTAAAAAATTTAATCAGTGTCATAATTGTTACTTCCCAAAAGGAATTGAACCGGTTAAATTCTGAATGCATGCAGAGTTGAATAACATGAAAATGGCCAAAGAAAAATCACGCAAAGAAAATGTAATTGAAATGCCAAACCAATCCCTAAGCAGTGTGACATGATAGCATTTACCTGCTGTTCCATATGGTAACTTTGGGGGATAAAACTCCACATTAACTCATGTTTATCATTAATTTTTTTAAAAAAGATTTGACTGTATGTTGGCAAATGCAGTGAAATATACTTACGACACAAATTGCACTCTAAAGACACTAAAATACATCTACAATTTTCTAGATTTCTTGTCATCATTTTTGCCTGTTTCTACTTTGAGGATTTGGGGGCGAAAAAGAAAACAACTTCTGTTGCTAGGAACATTTCAATAAATGAAGATAAATCTCTGCCCACAAAGATGCCCCATGAACCAGTCCTCCTGCTCTCCCAAAAACCAAATTACACACAGATGTATGACTGAGTCTAAAGATGTTTGTTAAGGCTAGTCATTTCAATTCTGAATTTAGTTACAGATTCAAAAGAGAAAAAAAAAGATTGGACGAATAATATAAATTCTTTCTCCCAAGGCAGCTTTGCTTCTCTGCTTTGAATTTAATCATCTGCCCAATTTGTATTTATCCTTATGCAAATTGTTGGATTTCTAAAAATCATCTGGGAAGTCTGGAACTAATAGGCAGGGGTCAGGATTTAGAAGTGAAAGTCTTATTGGTCATTTGTCTTACTTTCTGAAGTTACCTCTAAATAAAATCCATAGAACTATAAATTCACCCACTTTAGATGAATCAGTTTCCCTCTTGGAAGATTGCATTTTAAAGGGTAATATATTTAGAAAAACACTGGAGTCTATATTAGAATAACTGGATTAATCTTTCTGAGAAGTAATCAGGTTAATTGGTCTGGAAGGCAATAGAACATAATGGTTAGCTGTGGGGAGCTTCAGAGTTTGATTGGACTGCCTTCCAATCTGAGTTCTGCTATTAATTGCTATGACAGATAGACTTCATGTACCTCCAGTGACCCCTATCTCCTGGTCTTTATATCTTTGTTGGTCCTCTCCCAGAGTTTAGGCGAGCCTAGTGACTTGCTTCTAACCAATAGGATGTGGTCAAAGTAATGAGAAGCGTTTCTGTGACATTAACTTACCCAAGAAGTGAGTGTTGTCACACTTTGGCTTTGATGAAGCCATATCTGAGCTTCCATGTTGGAAAAAGCCATGTGAAAGAAACTAGGGTGGCCTCCAATCATCATCCAACAGGGAACTGAGGTCCTCAAGCCAATGATAATTGAGGAATCAAATGCTTCCAACAATATGTAGGTGAGCTTGGAAGCTCAAATGAGACCCCAGCCTAGCTGATACTTTGTTAACAGCCTCTTGAGAGCCCAGAGTAGAATATCTAGCTAAGCTGTGCCCTGACTCCTGATCCACAGAAACTAAAATTATACATACCTATTGTTTTAAACTACTAAAATTTGTGGTAATTTTTTAAGTAGGAACAGATACTAATACAATAGCTATGTCATCTCTCTGAGTTTGAGTTCCTTACCTGTAAAATGGGAATGTCAATACCTATGCCTTAGGGTGGCTCTGGGATTTCAAAAAGGTAAGTGTTTAACATTGCAGCTGGCACCTGTTAAGCATACTTGAAAATTCACTTTTATTTCATTGATAGCATCTGTATTCACAATGTATATCAACTCCAGGAGGTGATTAATGTGACATACAGGAGAAATCAAAGTCTATGTTATAATTGTATAGACAAGACGAGGCACAGGTCGGGTTTTTACCCTTGATTCTTGTGCAGTGGAGTTGAGGAAGGCAGCTGTGTATCTGTACCTGTGTGACAGAGGAAGAGCGATCTGAATGGGAGGCAACTGGAAAAAAAGTCTGCAAAAATTTAACAAAAACATTAACTTTTGTACTCCATAAGAGTAAACTAGCTCACCCATGGCTTATACAGTAGTTTGGCAAGTGTGAGGGAAAGTGGGGAGTCTCATATAGGTCAGTGGGAAGAGAGGGCACGCTGACAAAACCTACCAACATTTACATGCATCTTCTCTTTAACCCAGTGATTCCGTTTCTAGAAACTAATCCTAAAAACATTATCAGACAAGTGCACCAATAAGATTAAGTTGTTTGTTGCAGCTGTACTTATAGACAGTGCATTCTTATAAGCCAAATAAAACAAATATTTGATCATTTTTGATCTATGAACACAGCAGTATCATGTAGTTCTACCTAAAAGAACAGTGTGTGAGACAAATTCAGAAGCAAGTGGAACTGTGCAACACTGGAATTTCTTATACACAGACACACAAAGACACACATAGACATATGAATATAGTCTGTTCTCCACATGCCTGGGTTCCACAGCCACAGATTCAACCAACCACCATTCAAAAATATTTGAACTTGGGGGTATCTACACTAATGTATGCAAAAATTTTTCCTTTCATTATTCCCTAATCCATATAGTATAACAACTATTTGTATAGCATTTATACAATATTAGTTCTCATAAATAATATAGATAACAGTTTCCTTCCCTTTCACAACATCTACTGTACCTCCTAGATATTATTCACTCTTTCAGGTTCTTACACTAGTGAGATAATATGGTGTTTACACATGCAGGTCTGATTTACTTCACTTTTATTGTTCTATTGAAAGGAAAAGTTAATGTTTAAGTGTATGATCAAACTTACATGTCTATACTTGTTTATCTGAGTATCCAAATTGAAGATATCAATACATAATACAACAACCATTGTTAATTTCCTATCACCTTGTCTGAGATTCTATATTGCTTGTGTTGTGTTTGTATTATTTTCTAAATGTATGTATGTTCATTAAGATGTTTTTGTTCTTTCATCTATAAAATAAAAAATAATATAGATAATAAAAAATAATATGTCTCCACTCTTATTCAGCATAGTTCTGGAAACCTTAGCCAGAGCAATAAGACAAGGGAAAGAAATAAAAGGAATAACAATAGGAGAGGAAGAAGGTAAATTATCATTATTCACAGATGACATGATACTTGATATAGGAGACCCCAAAAACTCCACCAAAAAGCTGCTAGACTTAATAAGCAAATTCAAGTGGGTACAAAGTGGACACTCAAAAATCAACAGCCTTCTCGTACATGAATAACAAACTCACTGAGAGAAAAATTAGGGAAACAACATCTTTCACAATAGCATCCAAAAAAATGAAACACCTAGGAATCAATCTAATGAAGGATGTAAAAGACCTCTACATTGAAAACTACAGTGCTCTGAAAAAGGAGACTGAAGGGGATATGGCCATACTTCCAAACTTGTTATACAGATTTAATGCAATTCTGATCAAAATTCCAACAGCATATCTCACAGAATGAGAGAAAACAAGCCAGATGTGGTGGCACATGCCTGTAATCCAAGCACTTGGGAGGCTGAGGCAAGAAGATCATTGTGAATTTGAGACCAGCCTGGGCTACAAAATGAGCTCAAGACCAGCCTAAACTGCATAGCAAGACCCTGTCTTAAAAGGACAAAAAAAGAGAAAGAATTAGAGAAAACAAACCTAAAATTCATTTGGAACCATAAGAGACCTAAAATAGCAAAGGCAGCTCTGGGTAAGAAAGTCAAAGCAGGAGGCATCACAATCCCCAACTTGAAATTATACTACAAAGCTACTGTGATAAAAACAGCATGGTACTGGCAAAAATATAGACCTGAAGATCAATGGAACAGATTAGAAGATGCAGAAACAACTCCAGATACACTCAGCCATCTTATCTTTGACAAAAGTGCTAGTTTTCAGTATATAGGTCTTGTAAATTTTGTGGTAAGACTTATCACTAGTTCATATTTTCATACTCTTGTAAAAGCTGTGTTTTTGTTTGTCACCATGAAATGGAAGTATAGTTGCTTGTCAATAAACATTTATTAATAAATTTTTATAAATAACAATATAGATCCAGTTAAAGTATAGGGAAGATGTGTGTAGGTTACATGAAATGCCACACCACTTCACATCAGGCACTTGAGCCTAATACTACAGATTTTGGTGTCTTTGGAGGTCCTGGAACCAATCCTCCATGGATACCAAAGGACAGCTGTCTATAGACACACATACACAGCATAAAAATGTTAAGTACAGAAAGCAGTTTACAAAGAGCATTCTTTTATCCCCCTTAGCACTTTCACAGAGCTCTAGCTAGCAAGGTTTAAATTTTAATTTTAGATGCATTATTCCACACTCTGCCAGGTGTCTTTTCATGACTCCTCTGCATCACTTCCCCACTCTCCAGAGGAGGAGCGATTTCTCCCACTGGTCCCTTAGCAAGAACAAAGTGCGCATGCATGGCCCAGCCTGTCTTTTCTGTTTTCTCCCATTGGACTGGACGAGCCTGGTCCTGGAAATAACCCAATCTTACTCCCTTCCTGAAGCAAGGGAAGTTTAGAAGAGCAGGTTCCTCCTGCCTTGTTAGGACAAGCCTGTTGCTGACCGGTCATGGGATGGATGGGTGGGTGAGAGCCTTAGAAAGTTGGCTTGGTAAGCCACACGGGCTGTCCCCTTCAAACTTGCTTTTATCAGTAATAAAAGGCATTGAACTCCTTATGTAGGGGGTGGTGGAAAACTATGGGGTGTGTTTTCCATTATAAAGAAAGGGGCACTATCCTTTCAGTTCTTAAAACACTAAGTCTTGAGCCAGGATTACCTTCCTGACATTTTGGGTTTTGTGTTAGTGTTGTTGGGTTTGTTTTTTTTGTTTGTTTGTAGGAGCTGGGGCTGAACCCAGGGCTTTGAACATGCTAGGTAAGTACTTGACCACGGAGCTACCTCCTCAACCTATTTCTAATCATTTTAAAAATGGATTTAAGCTGACCAAGACATTTTGTTTACAAGGAACAGCTTTTTCTGGTAAAGCACTAGAGTACAACAGAAAAACAAATCTCTTTGCTCTCTTATTTTTAAATTTCTCTTTTACTAATCGTCTATGTCAAGAAATACAAGGCTAAATGTCACACTGTGTTGTTTGTAGCTGTTTTGCATATGTTGATAGAGACTTAGCAAGACTAACGGTTGTCACAGCCAAGCCAAGGGCATGGGGGCAGCACTGCTCAAGAATACAGGCTAAGCCACGCATGGTGGTGCAGACCTGTAACCTAGCTTTTGGGAAGCTAAGGGAGGAGGATTGCTGTGAGTTCCAGGACAGCCTGGGCTACATAGTGAGTTCAAGGTCAGCCTGAACTACTTAGTGAAACCCTGTCTCAATAAAAAAAAAAAAAAAAGCTGGGGATATAGCTCAGCTGCATAAGCACCTGCCTGGCAAACTTGAGGTCATGAGTTTGATTCCTGGTACAAAAAAAAAAAAAAAAATAAGTGAAGCCAGGCATAGTGGCACACACCCTGTAACCCCAGCACTCGGGAGCCTGAGGCAGGAGGATCATTGCGATTTCGAGACCAGCCTGGGCTACAAAGTGAGCTCAAGGCCAGCCTGCACTGCATAGAGAGACCCTGTCTCAAAAAAGACAAAAATCCCAAAAAACTGAAGTGAATGATTTATAGTGGGCTCTATTTGTAGTCAGATCCCATTCAAGGTGTTTAACAAGCCTCATGGCTTTATTGTCTAACTGACAGGTATTACTAGGAAAGGAAATCTTAAAGTCAGTAAAGACTAGATTTCCTGATTCTTCCCTCCCCTTCCATAAGGCAGTTTGGTGCAGTGACACTTCCTGGATGTCAGGGAGTATCTTAATCTTTTATTATTTCTATAACAAATTACCAAAAACCTCAAGGCTTTAAAAATGCAAATGTAGTCTCTTGTAAGTTAGAGGTTAGAAATGCACAGAGGAATCCTCCGGGCTCAAACGAAGATGTCAGTAGAGGGCTGGGGATTTAGCTCAGTGGCAAAGCGCCTGCCTGGCAAGCGCAAGGTCGTGAGTTCGGTTCCCGGTACCGGAGAAAAACCAAACAAAAAAAAAAAAAAAAAAAAGAAGGTGTCAGTAGAACTACGTTCCTTCTGCAGGCTCTAGAAGACCCTTTTTCCTTGCCTGTTCCGCTTCAAGGGGCCACCCGCTTTCCTTGGTGCATGCTCCTCTTTCCTCCATCCGCAGTGCTCCCTCTGTATCTCTCATCTGTCTCTGCTTCTGTCTCCACGGCACCTTTTCTTTTTTGAAGTATCCTGTGATTACACTGGGCCCTCCCCAATCAACTAAGATCATCTCCCCATCTTGAGATCTTTAACTGGCTCACACCTGCAAAATCTCTTTAACTCTTAAAGGTAACACACTCGGGGGTTTTGGAGATTCAGACAAGGACATATTTGAAGAGAAATTATTCAGTCTACCACCTAGATACATCCTAATTTCATAATCTGTCAACAAATCACAAGAAAAAAAAAATCACAAAGAAGGCATCTCTTCCTCATTCCCTTTCAACCATACTGATGACCTCAAGGGGGAAGTATCAGTCAGTGCTACCATGCCCTGGGCACCTTCCTAACACTTGTTGATCTCCTCCTTTGCCCAAAAGCCGGCCTCCAGCTCTGAGCTTTCAGCCAACAACACACCAATGTGGCTTCCAATAATATTTTCACTGAGTCTGCCTCTCAAGTTACCTTCTAAAAGTTGATGAGGATTTTCCATTTCAAGGGTGACTGGATCGATCCTTTCAAATGTAATTTCTAAAAAACTGACTCGATTTTCTTGAGCTGGGGGTGCAGCTCAGTGACAAAGTGCTTGCTTAGCATGTATGAGACTCTTAGTTTGATGCCCAGCACCAAAGTAAATTTTCTTTTTAACTTCAAATTAGCTCTTCCCTCTAACTCATTCCTAAGAGAACAATCA